GTGATTTTCTTGTCACATGTAACACTTAACAGGTCTATTCTCTCACGTTCAACTTAATTAATTAGACTTAGTTCATACTAAAGCCTCATTCATGTTGTCTCATTGCAAAACGAAGTACGCATTTCATTTTGATAACCACTGATGTTTGACAGGCTAGAGTATAGTTTTCCTTTGTTTACATAATCCTCTATACTCCTTTATTCAAATTAAATGAAGAATAATATCTAATTACAATTAAATCTTCATTAGCGACAATACATGATTGATAAACATTGTGTATTTCATTATCAATTTATAAGGCTATCAATTACGGTACCATAGTTAAAATGAATCTCGTATCTCACTATTGAGGTTTAGTATAGAACTCAAACAATAAATTTTGTTATAAATATACAATTCTAATTCCATTTTCTTTCTGAATCAGTATATTTAATTGCAGTTCTTAACATAATCTGACGATGACTGAAACTAGGTTTAGTTGCAATTGGGAATTTTACATTTTAATTATTCCCTAAGCATTATGTTGAAAAGATGAAGTCGGTTCCTTATTTACCTTAATTAGAAAGTACTTTAGTATGGCTTAATCATCACCTCGATAATACCGCAAATTATCTTTTAGTTCATGGTAGACATAATCCAGGTCAAGATCATTCCTAACTAGTGATAATCACCGGTAGTCTAAGATTTTAATTACAACGCTCTTGTTGATGGAGTTCCTATTTTTTTATTCACTTGGAATACTTATTATTATTTATTTGAACACATGAATATTGGTACAAGAGAGCGCCAATATATATGCGCCACACAAAACAATGAAAATTCGAAGAGAAGTACAAAAAAAAATAAGGAGCGCAAAAGAAAAAGAGAACAATAACGAAGATATTGGTGTAAGGTAGTGTGGTAGTAACACGGGAAAGGAAAGGTACAACCAGAAGAAATCTTTCAGTTAAGGGAGACAACCACTTTTTATGAAGAAAGTAAAAGAAGGTCACAGCAGGATCGCCACTGGCTTCTATTCTGAGCCATATCTGATAACGTCTCTAGCCACTGTGTAGCACCAGCTCTCAGACCCCAACCAGGGAGTCGTGAAGGACCAACAGAAGCCAGTCCTTTGCAGCTTTCTTTCATACCACGACACCATGTCATATATTGACCACCTCTCCGCTTCTTCCAACCAGTCCCAGAGTCGGCAAATAATGCACGACGTGGAATTCTCTGGGACGACATTCGTAGAACACGTCCAAGCCACCGAAGTCGGTGTTTCAAGATGGTGATATCAATTACATTATCATCTCTGTGCCCGAACACACGATGCCGAACCTCTGCATTACTGACATGGTGTTGCCACTGAACGTCAGCAATCCTTCGGAGACAGCGATGATCGAACACAGAGAGTCGTCTAACGTCCTCAACTCGGAGAGGCCAGTTTTCACAAGCATAGAGCAAAACTGCCCTCACCGACGCGTTGTAGATCCGACCTTTTACAGCCAGACTAACATCACGAAGGCGCCAAAGGTGGCCCAGATTGGCATAAGCCGCTCTGGCTTTCACTATTCGTGCATTGATCTCATCACTCACACCACCACCAGCACTTATGCAGCTACCCAGATACACGAACTTCTCAACTACGTCTATCTGCTCACTATCCATGGTGAGTACAGGATTGGAATCCTGCCAGTCTTGTAGAAGTACTTTGCACTTCGAAGGTGCAAAGCACATACCATACCTACGGACACTGATTGTCAGCTGATTAAGTGCGGATTGCATGCCTTGGGCATTATCGCACAGTAAGACAATATCGTCCGCATACTCAAGGTCGAGAAGTCTTTCTCCAGGCAACAGATCCACACCACCATTACTTACATCCATCAGAGCTGTTTCCAGAATGTCATCGATGGCAAAGTTGAAGAGGAATGGTGAGATTGGGCAACCCTGCCTAACCCCACTGCTCGAACAGAACAACGGAGAGAGGTGGTTGTATGCCCTCACTCTGCCTGAGGTGTTTTTATATAGGGCTTTCAGGATATTAATAAACTTCTCAGACACACCCTTCTTCAATAGACAATCCCAGAGAACAGTCCTATCCAACGAATCGAAGGCAGCCCTGATGTCAAGAAACACTAAGATTGTCGGCCTTTGAAAAATATGGCAGTGTTCTAACATTTGGCGGAGGGTGAAGATATGATCAATACATCCTCGACCAGAACGAAATCCAGCCTGCTCCTCGCGAGTCAATCTTTCTCGGGTTTTGAACAACCTACGAAGAATGACGGAAGCCAATAGTTTGGACGCAATCGGAAGTAGACTTATCCCCCGATAGTTGTTACAGGAACGACGTGAACCCTTTTTAAAGATAGGGACAACTATCGACTCATTCTATGACGTTGGCACACTCTCTAACTCCCATACCTTTGTAAACAACGTCGTCAGTTGCTTAGTCAGAAAGTCACCACCATCATTAAAAAGAGCCGGAGGTAAGTCATTTGGGCCAGGTGATTTGTAACGTTTCAAGAGTTGGAGTTCCTTGCGGACTTCCTCCTCATTTGGTGGATAAGTCGTCACCGGCCATGGAGGGCAGGACAGTCTGACCGATGTTGCCGGAGCAGCAGGCCAGTTGAACTGCCCTTCGAAAAATTCTGCCCATCGTCCAAGACGTCGATGGGTGTTAGTGATTGGCATCCCATCATCCTCGCAGATTGTTTCACTCACACCAGACTTCTTCCTACCAGTGGCTCGGATGAGCTGGAAGAGCTTCCGGTAGTTACCAGATGCAGCTGCTGCTTCCAGCTCATTAGCACGCATCGACCACCAGGCTTCTCGATCCTTACGCAAGCTTTGCCCAATTTCAGTACGTAACATCCTTCGTTTATGGTCAAACTCACGGTCACCCGGAGTAGACCGACGGGCTTCAATGAGTTGTAAGGAACCTGCAGAAACCCAGTGCCTAAAAGCGGGACGTTTCGTAAACCCACAACTGACTGTTCCCGCCATTTTCATGGCGTCATGCAATTGCAACCAATGCTCATCTATACTTTTCGGTGGAGTGGTAGCTAGCCCAGAGGCTAGCTCGGTTCTATACTTACTTGCAACAGAAGTTGCAACCAGCTTGCTGACATCAATCCGTTGATGGCGGTCACTTCGTTGGCCACTGAAAAGTAAGGCAAGATTAGCGCAGACCAAGGCATGGTCAGAGTCCAGATAGGTACTCCAAAAGGAGCGGCAGTCTTGTACACAACCACGCCAGTGGTAGCTGATCGCGATGTGATCAATCTGAATCCAGGCTTGAGATGCAGAGGGAGGACGCCAGGTGGCATATCGGCAATGACTGTGCCGAAAGTTAGTGCTAGCCAGAAACAGGTTGTGCTCTGTGCAAAGTTGCAGTAGACGGTCTCCGTTATCTGACCTGCGACCAACGAGTCCCCATCGGCCACCTAAACGACTCTCTTCTGTGCCTAGACGCCCGACCTGAGCATTCAAGTCTCCGGCTAGTACCACAATATGTCGAACGCGCTTTCTGGAGAAGAACTGATAACTGGTGGTAAAACTCATCCTTGATTGCATCCGGGCTGCAATCTATCAAGGCATAGCCGAAGATGACGAAAAGACATCGTTTCTCACGCCGATTTCTTCTCACTTTGATGGAATTTCTAATATAACACCTCATAACCGACTGTTAATGGAAATCCAGTCGATTAGTGCTGCCTCAGCTCTAGCGCTTAGTGCGACACCAACGCCAGCAAGATCAGACGAAGATGCCACAGGGTCCCCGGATAAGCGCACGTAAAACAAGCTTTTTGAAGCGACAGATGGAGATCTAATTTGTAGTACTTTGCCAGAGTCTTGAATACGGGTCTCGGATAGACAACACACGTCGATATTAAGACTTTCCAAAGACATAGCCAGCCCTATCTGTTGTCCGACCTGCATAAATGTGCGAACGTTGAAGGCAGCCAGTTTGAATGGTGCACGTGGTTTCAGAAAAACTGCTTCAGTTCTCGTATTCGGTGGTAACAAACAATTTTCAACCGGACAGTGAATCGAGAACGTTTAGATACAGTCGAATTTCCACCAAAGACGAGCCGCTGTATAAGTATAAAAGAGGGTGAATAATGTGGAAAATAATAATAATAATAATGACAATAATGGTAAGAATAATAATAGTATTAATAATGACAATAATTGTAATGATAAAAATTTGAATCAATTGATTGTTTTTCGAAGCGAGAAAAATAATTTCCATAGACATAAAGAGTTCATCATTTGTGTGTGGGCTGTGATACTACCCGGGTGCCCAAACCGAAGCAGGTGGTTATCTTAGGGGGCCACACCCCGAGCCTTTGACCTAAAGGTCTAATCCACAAGGCAGTGGAGCATCGTAAGGAGATGCAGTCCCATGGAAGTCGGTGGCCAACAATTGGTTCATATGCCATTTGTTCCCGCAGGATACTAGAGCCCATGTGCACCATTGGTTTGGAATCCGGTTAAAGCGCCGGACATTCGCTTTTTGTCCTCTCATTTTCGTAAACAACACCCCCGCCACGAGAAGGCAATGAGTAGGACTTCCCTGGCAGAGGATGTATACGCGTGGCCGTGTTAGAGCATTTCGAGAGGGAGAGTGGACTCTCCCCACTCTCGGCCGTACCAGGGCATTCAGGGGGGAATACATCCCATCTGTTAACTGTAATAGACTTGAATATTCCAATTATTATAAATTATTTACTCATAAAACATCCCCTACACACTGCATGCGTATCTAACCTAAGTGAAGAAGCCTATCTCATTAGTAAATTTGCCATTTTCAGGTAGAATTTATGTCATATCAGATGTACCTGACAAGTGTAGCACACAAATGTTGACTGTGTTGGCTTTGGTAAATTCTAACTTACATGAAAAAATATTTTGATTTTTATTCATGGAAAAAAGACTACATACAGAGTCGCCTATCAAAGCCCATTAAATAAAACTGTTTTACAAAAGGTAAAGAACAAACAAATCCATTTCAGGATACTTATTATTCTCCACCTTGAAAATAATGAAATAGCAACAGTAACAGTATAAACGATAACGCCCAAGTGAACAACAAATAACATTAACTAAAGGCATTAATTCAATGAGAACATTTCTGAATTCTGAGTCGTCAAAATTCCATTAGATAATCAGTTTTATTTCCTCGAAAAAATGAAATCCCACAGACATTGATTAAAAAGTAAAGACAGAAGGGACACATATTCACGTATATAATATCAAGACGAATAAACTGAGGTAAAGAAGCTGTAAAGTTTGTAAACAATTATAGAAATACAGTTAAATAGAACTTTTAAAAAAATCTACATAGAATTCAGTATGAATAGTCTAAGACGATCTAGTGACTCAGGAAATATAAACATCTAAACTACAAGAAAACAATGAGGAAGATAGACTGATAGAATAAAAAGATGTCATGCAAGTAACACACACAAGAAAGTGAATATATATATATATATATATATATATATATATATATATATATATATATAACTGTTGTCATCACTGTTATCATTATATTCGTGTGTTAACAGTGTGAAGAATATGCTTTTTGATAAGACCAAACGGTTGATGAACAATCAGCACACATACATGTGTAAAACAACCGAAGATTTTCGAACCGAAATTAATAAATAAATCTGAAGAGAAACATCTCATCATTTGCTGGAAAACGGTGTCAAAACGAAGAAACGGAAAGAGACATCGAAATCATTAACAATGTGTGTATGTGTAGTAAAGAAAAGAGAATTTATGGGCACTCTGGTGCGATACATCAACTTTATAATTTTTTTCTACACACACACATTGAATAAGTAAACACAGGTTAACATGCAAACACAGCCCATATATACATATATGGTTGTGGCACATTTTTAGTGAATTGCAAAGGCATATAAAGATATAATGCAAAGACTACGTATATGCGTTTGTTGTATTAAAGTAAACTAATTAGCAAAAATGTAAATTTATAAACTATTAAAACCACACATTATGCCTTAGAGAAAAAACAAGAAAGAAGGCAAACTGCCAAAGAGTATATATATTGTTTTGTTAATAAATGCTAAAAATTATTGTTTATTTGAACAGCTAATCAATTATCAATTGATTCACACATACATACAGATAAATAAAGGGGGGGACAGAGTACGACTGAAAAGAGCTGATCATAGAGATAAAGAAATGAGCTCATATGTTTAATTTTGTTCACAGTGAATGGAAGACAGATTTTTTCTGATGTTTATTACAAATTAAAAAAGCTTACAGAATAATACATGCAATCGATAGATCATGGCGAGGTTAATTGTCATTGTTATTCTGTTCAATCCAAAAAATATGACATGATCTACACAGTGTTTAGTAACCGTACTGGTAGCAAATAACAGATAATAATAAGGATGAAAGGGGGGTATTGTTGTAGGCCTTACGAATGATGTAAGTGTACAGTTATTTAATTGAACTGACAGACATGGAAGATACACAATCTCCACCACTATCAGTCAAGTCTAGACGTTCTTCTAGATTTTGTATACGCCTTTCATGACCTTTAATAATTATCTTCATTTTGCGAATATCTTCCATGAGATGATGAATACCGGAGTGATTTGCATGACAAGCACCGGTTGAAATACCATTCTAAAGTGAAAAAAGAGAAAAATGGAGTCGTTTTAAAGAATAATGGAATCAGTACAAAAATATTAGATAATATGATAAATCCAAAAACTTACTAATTAACCTCTGATATTATTTTCTTTTCTAATTAAAAAGAGATAAGACGAATATCACCAATGATATAGCTTACAACCATAGTCAATAAAATACAAAATCAATCTTTTTGGTATCATAGAACTCACATTTATGTATTTCGAACCATAACTGAACTCCGCCTGGAGTCCCTGCGGGGGCTACTGCCGGTCCCAAGCCCGGATAAAGGAGAACGGTTGGGCATGGGGTTAGCGTCCCCATCCCGTAGAAAACTAACTCGCTAAGAAACGCTAACCAGAAAAAATTATTCAAATCTTTTAAACTCTGCCCTGGGAGTCAGAAGGTCTTCATTTAGAAGAACTATGGCGCCTCATGATGAAAGCCGAGTTCCTTCGGAAATCACGAGGCCGAAGCCCCTTCTGACAACCAGAACAACCATTTATTTAGGTACATGGAATACTCGTACAATGTGGGAGAGTCTTCCAAATTGCTGCAGAAATGAGGAGATACAACCTAGAGGTGCTTGGGATCAGTGAAACACACTGTACGCAAGTTTGACAACAACGAATAGCTTCAGGGGTGCTTCTGCTATACTCCGGCCATCAAGAAGAAAATGCACCACATACACAAGGAGTTGCATTGATGCTGTCCAAACAAGCACAAAATGCACTTATAGGATGGGAATCTCATGGACCAAGGATCATCAAAGCCTCCTTCAAAACAAAGAAAGAGGGCATTTCAATGAACATCATCCAATGCTACCCGCCTACCAACGACTACAATGAAGACGCTAAAGATCAATTCTACAATAGGCTGCAGTCAATCGTAGAGAAGTGCCCAACAAAGGACCTGACCATTCTGATGGGAAATCTAGATGCCAAGGTTGGAATGGACAACACCGGATAGGAAGACATCATGAAACGACATGGACTGGGAGAAAAGAACGAAAATGGTGAGAGATTTGCAAACCTATGTGCCTTCAATAAACTGGTCATAGGCGGCACCATATTCCCACATAAGCGCATTCACAAAGCCACATGGAATCCACCGGATCACACTACGCAGAACCAAATCGACTATATCTCCATCAACAAAAAGTTCAGGAGGACGATGGAGGATGTGAGAACCAAGAGAGGAGCTGATGTAGCATCAGACCATCACTTGCTGGTCGCCAAGATGAAATTGAAACTCAAGAAGTACTGGACAATGGGGCGGACAATATCACAAAAGTTCAATACGGGATACTGACAAACTCAACAAATTCAAGATAGTCCTCAGCAATGAGTTCCAGGCCTTTCATGATCTACTCAATGGAGAAGGAACTACTATGGAGAGCAACTGGAAGGGGATCAAAGAAGCAATCACTTCAACATGCCATGAGGTTCTGGGCCACAAGAAGCACCATCACGAGGAATGGATCACTGTTGATACACTGGATAAGATTCAAGAAAGGAGGAACAAGAAGGCAGCAATCAATACCAGCCGAACAAGAGCAGAAAAAGACAAGGCACAAGCTGAATAGACATTAGGAGTAACATGCGTGAGTAAGGAAACATAACTGAGTCATTCGTTGCCTACCAGTTCAAAGATCCAGTCAATAATCAACCAACTAAAATATGTGAAACTTTCGAAATAAGTGAATCTGTTGATTGTTTCAACTACATTGTTATGGAAGTATGTTTTGACCTAAAGTGTCAGTTTGTTCTTGAAAAATAAAATGTGAATCTAAAAACTCAGATCATGGAATCCAGGGTATGAAATTACTGTAAGGTCAACAACTGTTATCGAATGTCTTTTTTTATCAAAATTTTGTAAAAAAAAATACTGACTCTAGTGAAATGTTATTTTGTTGCAAATGACTTCAGAAACCAATTAGTCAATAACAAAATAGAGTAAATAAGTAGTATTTCGCAAGATGTGTGATTTTCTAAGATGTTGAATATAAATTTACAGTTGTCCAATATTCTTGAAACTCGGAAAACTTTGAGTGGTGATCATTGTGTAGACAACGTGGAGGGAAATAAATGACTGGATTAAGAGTTATATTGTGGTGTGTTCTACGGATGTCGATAGTTATGTGTTAAAAAATTAGTTGCATGTATTACTTCATTACGAAAAACGAATACGTTTTATTTGGGAATTTGATTTGCTTTGGCCTACAGTAATCACTATGTTCTAACGATAGAAATTATTGTAGTTGGCTTTTTTCCTTTGAAAATTTTTTTAAATTTTGTTTTGTTATTTTTGAACTTTATAACTCCTCAACATCCATCTTTTCATTCTTACGTAACTACTATTCTCTTGACCATCTATTATAAAATTCTGTTCCTTCTCTTTTTCATATATTACGCAACGTAGCAACTTCTTGATTTAATAATTACTTTGAATATTAATAATCCTTTCTTCCAATTACTCAATGTTAATCTAAATGTCATTATATAACTATTACGTAACGTATCCACCCGATGAGTATTATATCATTATTGTAAATCAAATATATAAAAGTGTAGAGCCATGATGAAAAACTAATTGAAAAGAAATTTCTTCGCTCAACTCGTTCCTTCTTTATTCAACAAATAGCAAAATGGGAATTTTCATTATATTTAAACAAAATTTATTGCTAGTTCGATAAGGCGGCAAACTGACAGTAATATATATATATATATATATATATATATATATATATATATATATATATATATATATATATATATATATATATATATATATATATATAACACTGAGATGCACAAAAAACGGCAAATTAAAAGCGACAACGACCAATCAGAAAAGATTAAAGGGCATTAGGAAACACAAATTGGGAAAGCTGTACTCATGGTTATCGTTACAAGAAAGATTTCACACTTATTCATAAAACTCAGTAACTTTTAAGCAGAATTACTGTTAATGTTTGTAAAATAACACTATGTTTACTATTCGTAGAATTTTAATGAATTCCCACCTAAAAGGAAATATAAAGAGCAGCAATGACAAATTACACAGCTATAGAATAAGGACTTGGAAGTTAAAAATAGAAAGATTAAAGTTACTTGATTAAAAGAGTCATTATTTTGTTGTGTAACAACTGAGTGTCCCATAATGTTAACTAAAATGCATTAGATAAGAGTAATTCTTCGTGAGCATTCAATGATCGAGGTAATAGAGACGTACACTACACCTACAGATGGGTGATTATCCTGCATTGAAAATTAGGGAAGTAGGAATAACACTGAAGTGATCAGATGAAACAAAATATTGATAAACTTGCTAATTGCTAATCTAAATCTTGATCAAAATATCGGAAAACATACATTACAGGTCGAGTGAAACACAGTTAGAAATCGATAAAAATGGTGAAAATCCATTCACTTTTCAACTGTTTACTAGGACACTTTTTCTGTCTACAGATTCTATATTACCATTATATCATTTCCCAAATTTCTATTGACTTTTTAATCTTGTTAAGAAGTGTCGCAGTCTAATCTTAATCTAAGGGGATTAAACTAATGTGCAATACAGGTAATGAACGATTATTACTTGTTTATTAACAGATTATTATACGGCTATAAATTTTCGACAGCTTAATTTATTAATAGTCAACGTCACATCAGAATTTTATGAGAAAGTCCCAATAAAAAAAACATAAGTTTATAGAAAAATAGGTTATCAATGTGAAACAGACAAGACTTATAAGAAAGCCATTAAAAAAAAATAAATGATGAAGCATACCACTGGTTCAGAAGATGGAGTATCTTTAGGTGGGGTACTCTTAGTTAATCGTTGTCGATTTGCATCTAAATGATCAGATTTGGGAGGATTTTCAGGATTTGGTGATTTAGAGCCAGGTTGTCGATTTTGATGCGATGTTACTTTAGTTTGTGGAACTGTCAAATTTGAATCTTGTTCTTCTTTATCTGCTTCTGGAGTGGATGCGATTAACTTCCCAATACGTTTTTTCGGTTTCGATTTTGGAACATAACCATCCTTTAGAGATATCTACAAAATCAGAATAATATACAAAACATGGGGAAGGATAAAATTGAAATATTGGAACAAGAAAAAATTGTGTGTAAGCTTCTCTGATTGAAGGGAATCAGTAACCTCACATTATTTTAACCATTAATATTGTTTTATATTATTTTTTGGAAGAGGAGCCAATATATCCTTAAAATTTGTAAATATTTCTAAAAAATGAAAGTATTTGACAATGTTTCACATACATGATAATAATGTATATTAATTTAAATTTTGTACACATATTTCTCATATCCTATATTGTTTATGACTGACTAACAGAACGGAATATAATACTAGAACTATTTTAATAAACAAAGAGTTCAATTAATGTCTTCATTGTCTATATCATTTTCATATAGTCTAATGAAGAAAGCAGATTAATTATGTTTTATTTTCATACACTAAACAGATTGAATAGAATGAGGAGTCCAAAATAGGATGAAACGCGCCACTATACATCTTTGCTTAGTTTTAAAAAATTTAATGTTAATTTCTACAAAAATTCACTTAACACTAATCACTATCATTACAAAAACTGAAGCGAAAATGATTGCCAGATGAAAGAATTACAACACTATTATTATTATTAAAACTTGAAATCTTCAAACAAATACACAAAAACGATGAATATTAGGATGATGTACAGAAACTAATAAACCATTGTAGAGTCGGAAGAATGTAGGACTTAAAACCGACCTTTAAATTTAGAATAAGATAAACTGGAATACAAAAAACAAAAGCTGATTTTTGATAAGAGTGATAGGTGAGTGATAGATATATTAAAATAAATCTAATGTGACAGTGCAGCAAGATAAAAAATAAAAAAGTAAATGAGCTAACTAATGAAAATGACAATTAGGGGCAGTTTGAATAAAAAAACAATGAATATTACTAAACGATTCTTATTTAGACGACAGTGAAGCCCTTAAATAATTATAAAATACTATGGTGTGAACATTAATAAAATAGCACTGTCCATAGTAAAAATAAAACATACTGTTATACAGACACATGGTGTTGTACTGAATTATGGTTCCAAGAGTAATGATAATAATACAACGCGAAGGATCAATAAGCAAAGACTTATGAAAATTGTTTTCACAACACCAAACATACATAAATACTAGATTAAACAAAAACTTCAAAACATACATAGTGTGTCCGCATGAACAGAATACACGAATGTGGGAGTGTATAATAATTATTGGCGAAATAAACATTTATTCACATACGTGGAGTTAATTAAAAAGAATAGCTTATAAACCAGTAGAATTAGAGTTAGAAATTTTAAAAAAATTTAGAAAATATATTTGCAATCTCCTACTGAATCTAAGTAACTGGCAGTCTGTATATATTACAGATATACGTACTATAAAAGTGTGTACAAATAACAGCTGGTTTTTAGCCTTCACGTTTAGTTCATTTATGGTGCAGCACGTGAAAACGCAAAATATGTGGACAATTGTCCAGTAGTAAACACACAGTCAGGTCACATGGGTGGGTTTATACAACTTCAAAATAATCATGCATTTGGGGATCTACCGTTACAATATTTAGCCATATATGAAAGGTATTTTACCTAATATAGACTGAAAAAATCAAGTATTGTATACATATGTATGCGTGCACATGCGCATAGAACGAACATATGGTGTGGTGGAAATTTACAATACTACAACCACAGTAGTGGTGATAATAAAATGATATCGAGTTTAACTGATTACAACTAGATTATGTATTAGTATGTATTTAACAGCAAATGCAAATAATAGGAGATAATAAGCGATTATTTAATTTTACATTCATCGATTAAATTTCACACGTACACAGATCGGTACGAAAATCAATAAGATATCAGAAATCGATAGGAAGCGAAAGGCTATTGATAACATTGATTTGTATAGGGAAAATTTGTTGATAGTATTTGAATATTTATGCATTAATACAGGAAGCTTTTATCCGATTTATTAAAATACATAACGTTTATTATCATTAGTAGTATTGTAACTATTATTATTGTTATTATTATTACACCGACCGCCACAATGCAGGTAGTTTAAAACAAGTCATTTTATCCATCAGTAAACAGAACTAACCGTGAAATAGAATAAAGAGAACCTTATTTTAAGACAATGAACCTAAGGTCACCCATGAGGTCACACCACTTATAAATATGCTTAAATTTATAATCAATTGAGACCATCAAGCACACAGTGGATTATCTTTTTTTGTCACATAACTTTTGGAAATTATATCATCATTGAGCAATAGAAAACCAGCTTTGTTTCAAGAATATTGAAACTTAACACAAAAACAAAGCTGATTTAATTTGCAAAAATAATAAGTGCTTTTTCGAAGGTATTTTGTTAAGTATAGAGTTTAACTGAAGTGCTTAACTAATTTTTTCAGTTTTCGCAACCAGTACTCCTACTTCGATAAATTTAAAACCTGAATAACAGTCAATTCACAAGAAAATTGTTAAGATTAGCATAACATCACATTTTAAAGGTGTTAGAAAAATACACATTTACTAAGTTCCATGTTGCATACGACTGACTAAATTAATTTTAAAGTGAGATTATCTGGAGAAAACTATTAAAAGTAAAGCAATATGATATGGCTTGAAGCAATTCGATAGCATATTGTTCGTCATATGGAGTAAAATTTTAAGAATTGAAGCCTTAAAGTACTCTGTAGTAACATTCAGCCACTGAAATTAAACAATTTTTATATTGTTAATCTTTATTTGATTTCCTACCTAGGTTAACCACCATCAGTGTCATGAGTGGCCACCTGTCTTTATACTCGATGTAATTAACTCAAACAAACGATTAGAAAGGTTAATTAGTTAAGGTCTAGCGTGCAGAAAAAACAAAATGTATCATTTTGCTCATACATATGTTGACAGGCGAAATTTAACGCCATTCATACACAGTGTAAAATAGGACAGGGTTATTGACCGGCCACTAAAATAAGTTCACTATGTGATTTGGGACCACAGTCCAACAAAAATAGATCTTCCAAATTATATTGGTAGCACAATTGTGGTACACAGTTTTGAAAAAGGTAATAAATAACTCACTAAAATAGGATCTGCATCTTTACCGGACATCCATTCATCAGCTGTCAATGAAGGCATATCACCAATTGTATCTGGATAAAGGTCATCTTGGAAGAGTTCTGATTTCCGAGGTACAGTGAACGGAATAACTTCACATAAACCTTTCGCATGTAATTTATAAAATCTAGCAATTTCATTTTGATTAACATCTAATCCTCGTTTTGGCATCCAACCCATTCCTCGTTGTGGATCAGAACTAGTAAGCATATTGATATAATGTACATAAGGTTGTTCTTCGGTAATTTCGAAATATCTGATTGTACTATCACCCTGTATTTACAAATGGAAAACAAGAAAAGTGATTTAAAAATCGATGATTAGAAACCATAATTAATAGTTTGAAAAAAACTAAATCCAAATATGAGCAGTCTAGATAATTTAATGAAAGATTGTTCGTAAAAATTGTAAATCATATCAACGCATCTGTAAAATACAAATATCTACCTTATCAATCAAAATAATATTATGGTATTTAAAAATCTGTGCAGGATATCCTAAATATCATTGTACCTAACTAATGTAAAAACCAACAATTAATTAGATTTCATTGAAATCTTGAACCGATCCAAGTTAGATGACTATCGAAAACGTGGAGGCAATGGACAGACTTTCCAACAGAGCCCATCCCCGACATATGGTCGCAAGTTTGATTCTCGAGTGCGGAGTCGAGCATTTGAACTGCTGAAATCCCCATACTAGGATGAAATGGTCTTACAGTGCTTCATTTATTTATTTGAACACATGAATATTGGTACAAGAGAGCGCCAATATATATGCGCCACACAAAACAATGAGAATTTGAAGAGAAAGAAAAAAAAAGAACAATAAGGAAGAAGTTGGTGTAAGGTAGTGTAGTAATAATAATAGTAATAATGAGGGAACGGAAAGGTACAACCAGAAGAAATCTTTCAGTTAAGGGAGACACAACCACTTTTTATGAAGAAAGTAAAAGAAGGTTACAGCAGGATCGCCACTGGCTTCTATTCTGAGCCATATCTGATAACGTCTCTAGCCACTGTGTAGCACCAGCTCTCAGACCCCAACCAGGGAGTCGTGAAGGACCGACAGAAGCCAGTCCTTTGCAGCTTTCTTTCATACCACGACACCATGTCATGCACTGACCACCTCTCCGCTTCTTCCAACCAGTCCCAGAGTCGGCAAATAATGCACGACGTGGAATTCTCTGGGACGACATTCGTAGAACATGTCCAAGCCACCGAAGTCGGTGTTTCAAGATGGTGACACCAATTGCATTATCATCTCTGTGCCCGAACACACGATGCCGAACCTCTGCATTACTGACATGGTGTTGCCACTGAACGTCAGCAATCCTTCGGAGAGAGCGATGATCGAACACAGAGAGTCGTCTAACGTCCTCAACTCGGAGAGGCCAGTTTTCACAAGCATAGAGCAAAACTGCCCTCACCGACGCGTTGTAGATCCGACCTTTTACAGCCAGACTAACATCACGAAGGCGCCAAAGGTGGCCCAGATTGGCATAAGCCGCTCTGGCTTTCACTATTCGTGCATTGATCTCATCACTCACACCACCACCAGCACTTATGCAGCTACCCAGATACACGAACTTCTCAACTACGTCTATCTGCTCACTATCCATGGTGAGTACAGGAATGGAATCCTGCCAGTCTTGTAGAAGTACTTTGCACTTCGAAGGTGCAAAGCACATACCACACCTACGGACACTGATTGCCAGCTGATTAAGTGCGGATTGCATGCCTTGGGCATTATCGCACAGTAAGACAATATCGTCCGCATACTCAAGGTCGAGAAGTCTTTCTCCAGGCAACAGATCCACACCACCATTACTTACATCCATCAGAGCTGTTTCCAGAATGTCATCGATGGCAAAGTTGAAGAGGAATGGTGAGATTGGGCAACCCTGCCTAACCCCACTGCTCGAACAGAACAACGGAGAGAGGTGGTTGTATGCCCTCACTCTGCCTGAGGTGTTTTTATATAGGGCTTTCAGGATATTAATAAACTTCTCAGACACACCCTTCTTCAATAGACAATCCCAGAGAACAGTCCTATCCAACGAATCGAAGGCAGCCCTGATGTCAAGAAACACTAAGATTGTCGGCCTTTGAAAAATATGGCAGTGTTCTAACATTTGGCGGAGGGTGAAGATATGATTAATACATCCTCGACCAGAACGAAATCCAGCCTGCTCCTCGCGAGTCAATCTTTCTCGGGTTTTGAACAACCTACGAAGAATGACGGAAGCCAATAGTTTGGACGCAATCGGAAGTAGACTTATCCCCCGATAGTTGTTACAGGAACGACGTGAACCCTTTTTAAAGATAGGGACAACTATCGACTCATTCTATGACGTTGGCACACTCTCTAACTCCCATACCTTTGTAAACAACGTCGTCAGTTGCTTAGTCAGAAAGTCACCACCATCATTAAAAAGAGCCAGAGGTAAGTCATTTGGGCCAGGTGATTTGTAATGCTTCAAGAGTTTTCAATGGTGATCTAACTTAGGTCGATTCATGATTTCAATGAAATTCAACAATCTCCACAAACCTATACTTACATTTACTTAGGCTCATGAAAGTTTATATTTCTCTCTACTTTGCAATAGCATGGTGAAGTGTACATATTTTTTTAAATATTTCCGTTTAGTCTTCGACTCGGTTTACCAAGCTCTTCTACACGAAAACGTGAAAACGAAGAAAAGGGCGGAAATGTAAAAATAACCCTTTACTCCAAGGTAAGTACATGTACATAAAATCGAGGGTAATTGTAGTGTTTCAGATGGCCTTGAGCTTTTGGAAGTTTCCAGAACCATTCTAAGTATACTAATAGAATGGGTAATCATGCAGTTAGAAATGTGATACATAACTTCACTTTATAGACGTTTCTGAGAAACTTCTATTCAACACTGATTGGATAAAATGTTTTGCAGCGTTTTCAGAGCCCCACTGGAGGACTTTTTGAGGAAAAATTTGGATAACACCAACAATTTCACTTACCACTAAACACCAAATACGACTTAAACATATGACAAGAATAAAATTTAAAACATTTCTGTGAGGAAAACATAATGTGACAATGAGATCTGTGGAGAAATATCAAATGAATAAACTGTGATGTAAACTAATGTTTCCTCTACATACACTAATATAAAATACAGCATCATATTGATGTATTAGTTATTAAACAACTCCGCCTGGAGTCCCTCCGGGGGCTACTGCCGGTCCCAAGCCCGGATAAAAGAGAATGGTTGGGCATGGGGTTAGCGTCCCCATCCCGTAGAAAACTAACTCGCTAAAAAAACGCTAACCAGAAAAAATTATTCAAATCTTTTAAACTCTGCCCTGGGAGTCAGAAGGTCTTCATTTAGAAGAATTATGACGCCTCATGATGAAAGCCGAATTCCTTCGGAAGTTACGAGGCCGATGCCCCTTCTGACAACCAGAGCAACCATTTATTTAGGTACATGGAATGTTCGTACAATGTGGGACACCGGAAGAGCCTTCCAGATTGCTGCAGAAATGAGAAGATACAACCTAGAGGTACTTGGGATCAGTGAAACACATTGGACACAAGTTGGACAACAACGACTAACTACAGGAGAGCTCCTGTTATACTCCGGCCATGAAGAAGAAAATGCACCACATACACAAGGAGTTGCATTGATGCTGTCCAAACAAGCGCAAAATGCACTTATAGGATGGGAATCTCATGGACCAAGGATCATCAAAGCCTCCTTCAAAACAAAGAAAGAGGGCATTTCAATGAACATCATCCAATGCTACCCGCCTACCAACGACTATAATGAAGACGCTAAAGATCAATTCTACAATAGGCTGCAGTCAATCGTCGAGAAGTGCCCAACAAAGGACCTGACCATTCTGATGGGAGATTTCAACGCCAAGGTTGGAACGGACAACACTGGATATGAAGACATCATGGGACGACACGGACTAGGAGAAAGAAACGAAAATGGTGAGAGATTTGCAAATCTATGTGCCTTCAATAAGCTGGTCATAGGCGGCACCGTATTCCCACATAAACGCATACACAAAACCACATGGACTTCACCGGATCACTCTACACAAAACCAAATCGACCATATTTGCATCAACAAAACGTTCAGGAGGACTATAGAGGACGTGAGAACCAAGAGAGGAGCTGATATAGCATCAGATCATCACTTACTGGTCGCCAAGATGAAATTGAAACTCAAGAAGCACTGGACAACGGGGCAGACAGTATCACAAAAGTTCAATACGGCCTTTCTCCAGGATACTAACAAACTCAACAAATTCAAGATAGACCTCAGCAACAAGTTCCAGGCCTTTCATGATCTACTCGATGGAGAAGGAACTACTATGGAGTGCAACTGGAAGGGGATCAAAGAGGCAATCACTTCAACATGTCATGAGGTCCTGGGTCACAAGAAGCACAATCACAAGGAATGGATCACTGTTGGTACACTGGATAAGATTCAAGAAAGGAGGAACAAGAAGGCAGCGATCAATACCTGTCGAACAAGAGCAGAAAAAGCCAAGGCACAAGCTGAATACACGGAAATAAACAAACAAGTGAAGAGGAGCATCAGAACCGACAAACGTAAATATGTGGAAGATTTAGCAACGACGGCGGAAAAAGCTGCAAGAGAAGGAAACATGAGACAATTGTATGACACGACAAAGAAACTCTCTGGAAATCGCCACAAACCAGAACGACCAGTGAAAAGCAAAGAAGGCAAGGTAATCACCAACATTGAAGAGCAACAAAACAGGTGGGTAGAACACTTCAAAGAACTGTTGAATCGACCAGCTCCACTGAACCCACCCAACATCGAAGCAGCACCCACGGACCTCCCAATCAATGTTGGCCCACCAACAATTGAAGAAATCAGAATGACCATCAGACAAATCAAGAGTGGCAAAGCAGCAGGACCGGACAACATCCCAGCAGAGGCACTAAAAGCAGACGTAGCGGCAACTGCAAGGATACTCCACATTCTCTTCAATAAGATTTGGGATGAGGAACAAGTACCAACAGACTGGAAAGAAGGACTTCTAATCAAAATACCGAAGAAAGGCGATCTCAGCAACTGTGATAACTACAGGGGCATCACTCTTCTCTCAATACCGGGAAAAGTCTTCAACAGGGTATTGTTAAACAGGATGAAGGACTGCGTAGACGCCCAACTTCGAGACCAACAGGCAGGATTCCGTAAGGATAGATCGTGTACAGACCAAATCGCAACTCTACGGATAATTGTGGAACAATCA